ACTTAGTCAGCCCGTGCATCTAAATAATTATATATAAGAAATACTTGTGGAAATTAATCCCTCCATCTTATAGAAATAACCATGGCAATCTGTGTGGAGATAGCAGCTATTACTGCCCACATACCGATTGGTTTTGTTTCCCTATCTAACCTCGAGGTAAACAGAATAACTGGCACAGAATGTGAAGTGTTTTCTTTACTATTTAATGCTTTTCAGTGGATTCCGCTACCGCAGTTGCACTGGCTAGTTACTCCTGCTAAACTATAAAATTGCTCAGGAGGGAACCGCTTCAGAATTGCTTGAGAGCAAGCCAGAAGCACAATGCCTGCATACATAAAATGTATTTTAAAAGGAAAAAGTTAAAGCTCAGTGGGAGTTGTTGGTGATCTGCCTCTCTTAAGATGAAGTTTACATTTTCCCCTTATCAAGTAATTTTCAGGCGAGCAACTCCTCAAGTTGAGGAGACAGGAGGGGGGGGAAGAGGTCTGTAATATAAACAAAATACCTGGGTGGTTTTATTTTTAGTCTATGAGGAAAAAATATACAGGAGGTATGAGGAAAAAACATACAGGAGGAGGTGCCAGATTCTTGGGCTTGTTCTCCAGGGTCTATGGTACATTATCGTCCAGACCTGTTTTAAGGTCCTTGGCTGTATTTTCTTGCCAGGTTTTCTAGAAGGATTTTTAGTATTCAAGACCCAGATGTCCAGCTTAAGTGTACCTGTGCTTTGCTGGTACTTGCTTGTGCTGCTGCTCTTCCTACGTAGCAATGTGGAGTTGATCTGAAATACGATTGAGGTCTATCTGGAAGCGTGGTCAGTCTGGCTGTAAAAACGTTACGTTCATCAAGACAGCAACCTGGTTGTTTCCAGAATGGTTTATGTTCTGTTTAATCTTAGAATAACTTAAGTGTGTCCCTGCACCTTTGCATGCCCTGTAGCCACCGGAGGAAGGTTGAGGTAGTGCACACGAATTCATCGATACACGGCCTCCGGTTCGTGCTCGCTGCATGTGTCTGCTGCAGCAGCATACTCCTCTTTTCAGCTGGACGCTTGGCAATTAAGACACGATCTGTCCTACTTAAGGTATCAATAAGCCTTTAATGTTACTTGGGCATTATGTTAGGAAAAGAGGAGCTCTTTTGAAGACACAGTTCCCACGCAGCAGGGTTCGCAGAGCTGGCTTTGGCTGATGTGCCCCTGGCAGACACCTGAATAAGGGAAAGTAACCATTGCCAAACGGTGCATATGGAGAGCGGTGGCAGCTTCTGACTACCAAAATATTGAATTAGCCTTCAAGAAGTATGCATCCTAAGGGTAACCACCCTGTATCTTTAGATCAAGCACACACGTCCGTGCAGGCAATTATCAGCATTAAGAGTACTGGCCTTAAAAAACAAACCAAACAAACAAAACCCCCCCCCCAAAAAAAAAGAGTTTCAACAGTGTGTTTTGGGTAGTAATACTTGAGTGAAGTGAGGTTAGGTCGTCGATCCTCTTCAGGTTTCATGTATCACCATGGGTAAGCCATTAACAGAATTTAAACCCTCTCCCTATTTTTTTTATTCCAGCAGCGTTTGTGGGTGTGAGACTGCTTTCTACTCCCTGACTTTCTCTAAGGGACAGACAGCACCGTACTGTAACAAACGCAGCCGCAGAGGCTCTGATTTGACAGAAGAGTTGCTCAGTCGGTTAGTTGTGCTTTGTGTCCTGACCTCTCTCCCTGCCAGTCCTCCTCCTCCTCCCGCTGCTGGGCTGGCAGAAGCATCGGTGTGGTCTCATGGGCACCAGCCAGATTAGGAATAGGGCTGTCTGAAGAATGAATTTATTGGGTTTTTTTCAGGCAAATCTGGTTCCCAATCTGGTTTACTGCACAGCTGCCTAAACACTTCACCTGACACGAGGCAGGGGGCAAGCAGTCAGGGAGAAGAGTTGATTAATTAGTGTTAAATGCTGGTGAATTAGGCGCAAAACTTCATCTTTAGTCATGGTCCTGTAGCATTGCCTATTGAGCAGCTATTTGTTATGATAAATTACATGTCTGTGTCCCACTGATGTGCCAAAGGTGCTTCCTGGGACTTGCAGAAGTGCCGATCTGCATCTCTAGTATGTAAATGCTCTGGCACCCACCTTCTCTAGCTGCACGCCCATGTTGCAAAGTGGTAAACGGGAGAATCCTTGAACTCGGGCTGCATTCTTCAAAAGAGACACTGACTGTGACTTGCAGCAAGTTCTGCGTGACACAGTCACGATGTGGTACCAAGCAAAAGGACCTCACGGCTGGCCTTGGCTCTGAGGGCTTGTGTGTCAGGCGTGATGTTACACAGAGAAATGGAGAAAGGAAAAAGAAGCACAAAAATCTGATTTGATGTCACTGTTAACACTTTGCTGTTTTGTCGTGCAGTTGTCTTCCAGCATGAATACATCCTTCATATTCTCTACAAATGCAGGGAGGTTGTCCCCGTTAGCTTGGTAGGAAAGACTTGGAATGAGGAGGGTTGTGGCTGCTGCTGTTGGACACAATGCTATGGCTGGAAATACTTTTAAAAAATAAACAATAAGCAGATAAAACAACAGGGCTACTTGGATAACTAGTGTACAGTCTGATTGTCAGTAGTACTTTCTAATTTACTTTTTTCAGTGAATGTACTACTTCACTTCTTTTTTTTTTTTTTTTTTTTACATACTACTTGCCTCTCTTTCTAAATATGGCAGCAGGAGCCACGCCTCACCTTCTAGGTGATGGTTTTGCACAGTGTTGTCATCTGGGAGACTTGGCTTTGTTCTTGTGGTGAGTGACAAGGCTTTTGGAAGATCATATACTTTGCTGAGGGGTGCATGTACATAGATATTCTGTGCCGATGTGTTTATTCATATGTAGATCCACGTTCTCAACTCTGATTCTGTATTGTGGCATCCACGTAATTTAGAAATGTGCTTAAGGTCGGGGAGCGGGGGAGGGAGGTGAGGTGTGCAAAACAAACAGCTGAAAAACCCCAAACAAACAAAAACCCAACAACCCACAACTGAGGGTGCTGTGAGTCTGTTCCTGAACTTTCGTGGCTCTGGCACTGAGCCCTCTCTGTGCGCCTGACCGTCCCGAGCCCGTTGACTCAGCTGACCGGTGTGTCCACAGCAGGCGGCTGCATTTCCGTTGTCCTTTGCTCTTGCTTCCGACTCTTCTTTGCTTCCCACTGCACTTGGGTGCTTGAAGGAGCTTTTGGGAAGGAAGCCACAGGCGTGTTTAAAATTTGCGAAGCAGGGAATATGAAGGTCTTGAGGTGTACATGATGCAATCTAAAAATTTTCTGTATTTACACATTTGCTATTTTAATCTGGAATGAAGTCATTGAAATGAAGTGATTTAGCGCGGAGGCGGGGGAAGCGGTTGGTGTTGTGGAAAAGATGAATGAAGTATACAGTGAATGGGCTGACACATTCAAACCAGGTGCCCAATACAAGCTTATGCCCTGAGTGTACCGTGCCTACCTGGAAACTTTTACAACCTACTGATACCATGATATTAAGACTGCAGAGTTATTAGAGGGGAGATTGCTTCAAATAATTTCCTGGCAATATTGAATTCCAGGCGCTGAAACTACTGCCGCTGTCTCAACTACCCAACTCTGCTCAGGCTGAGGTTGCTGCCAGGCACTGCTGTGAGGAAGAGGAAGAAAAGTATGAAACCTGTCAGAGAAAAAGGTCTGCTCTTAGCTCAGATACTGAAGTAATAACACATTTTTGAATCATTTGAGTACTGCATGCTGGATTTTTTTTCAGTCATTAGTTTAAAAACTTCCTTCATGGTTTGAGGCAAACATAATAAATACTTTTTTAAGGCCAAAACCAACCTTTTCTCCAGTGCAGTTGCCCATGGGAGTTTCCCTGGGACCCTGACCCTATGGTCATGGGCAGGCGTTTGCTTTTGCATGTGGTAAGGCAGCTCCTTGGCAAATATATATTGCTTTGTTTGCTTTGGTATGCCTGGGCAGAGGGCACTGGCTGGAAGGGGTGTCTTGGGGATGCGGCCTCGCTGGCTTCAGGGCAGCAAGGCCTTAGGGCACACAGATGTGTAAGTCTGCACACTTATGCAGACTTTGGGCAATGCTTTTTCCTGGCTAGAGTAGTAGAAAGGGGGGAAAGGAGGAGAAGGGAAAGGTTGTTTTCCTTTAAATAAATTTTATTTTTTGCTTTTGATTGGGTTTTTTTGGGTCTTCTTTTTTTTTTAAAAAAAAAAAAAAGGGGGGGGGGGGAGGGGGGATTAATAGTGGGCGGTGGGTTTCTCCCTTGAGTCCTGCTTGTGCCTGTGCAGAGCTATCCTGTCCTGGCCTGGGGATAGCACTGGGTGTAGCAACCTGTCATGTGCTGTGAATCGTAAGATTGGTATGTGCCTTATCATGGTTACTGCTTAAGAGTTGTGAGTGGGCTGGGTTGGGTTGGTTTGGGGGCTTTTAACCAGCCTTTGTATCTTTCCTTCTTCCTTTGTATTGTTGCTTTTAGGCCAGAAGTTGTCAACACCTCATTCTTGCTGTCCAAGTTTAAATTACTCATTAATGTTCAGAGTGCTTTAGGCAGGAGAGACCATGACCAGTCTGGAAAGCTGCATATTTACTAAATCTTTTACTGGTTTAAAAAAACCAAACCAAAACAAAACAACACAAAACCAACATTTTTTTCCCCTTGCTGTCAAAAGGAAGAGATGTTTGGTGTACTGGAGAGAGCAACAGTAAATGTAACTCCGCTCAGCTGGTACGAGCGATAGCCTTGCCTCCCTGGAAGGCTGCACTGTCTTGTAGCATTTTGTTATCTTGCTGAAGATGCCTGCTAGGCAGAACAGTGTGAGCACTTTGCCCTTTTTGTCTCTTTGAACTTTGACCACTTGGTCAGGATTGATTATAAACCCAGATGCTAATTACTCTGCTTCTCATTTCACTGAACAAAGGTGTGTTGGCACGCTTCCTTGCTATGGCTGGAGTCTCCAGGACAAGACCCACAAAGTAAAATGGTTGAGGAGGAAGCTAAGAGCCTGCCTATGGAGCTGAGCGAGAAGGGGGGTGTGGAGAACAACGGATTTGTTCAAAATGAGGCTTTTGATGACAAGGAGACTGATACCAGTAGCCAAGAAGAAATGCCGAAAACATGCATTGTTGATACAGACCCAGCGGCTATGGAGGAGCTGGCGTTGAA